ATTATTATATATAATTATTATTACATTAATTATTAATATTATTATATATATAATCAGGTCGAATCACGTTGAAGAGCAAGGATCCGCTCGAGCCGCCGGTGATCTGGAGCAACGACTTGGGCACCGATCACGATCGCAGCGTCATGATCCAGGCGATCCGGGTGGTGCAGAGACTGGTGAACACGACGGTCATGAGGAATCTCGGGGTCGAGTTTCAAAGGATCGATCTACCGCAGTGCGACAGCTTGGTCGAGGACAGCGACGATTATTGGAACTGCGTGATACAGTACAACACGAGGGCGGAAAATCACCAGACGGGGACGGCCAGGATGGGTCCCGTCTACGATCGCATGGCGGTCGTATCGCCCAGGCTCAAGGTGCACCGTGTAAAGGGACTGAGGATCGCCGACGCCTCTGTTCAGCCGCAAGTACGTCCACCATTTTATTTTATCCCGATTCGTGTCGATAATTGTTTCGCTCCTACAGGTGATCTCGGGCAATCCCGTTGCCTCGGTCAACATGGTCGGCGAGAGAGCGGCAGACTTCATCAAGGAGGACTGGGGAGAGGATCTGTCTTAGATTGATGTAATTAACAAACGGTTATCGTACTTGACTTTGCACCTGTATTTATGTTATAAAGCTGCATATATATATATATATATATATATAATTGTTCTTATTTTGAGATAAGGGTCTATTTATTTTCCTTACGTGTTCCAAGTTTCGAATCATCGAAAAAGAGAAGAATATTTTATTTATTTCAATTCAAAGTGGCAATCAAAGTTAAAAAATTGCTAAACTGCTCGAGATTGGAGAAACATTCCACGTTATATATATATATAATTGTTTTTATTCTGAAATAAGGATCTACTATTTTTTACTAACATTCCATGTTATGAAATGTTAGTAATCCTACATATATGTATAATTATTCTTATTCTGAAATAAGGATCTACTATTTTTCTTCTCATCTTGCAAATTATTATTTTCCCTACGTGTTCCAAGTTTCAAATCCAAGTATCGAAAAAGAGAAAAACATCATTTATTCCGATTCGTGGCAATCCAAGTTAAATTGCTCGAGAAACATTCCACATAATGCTATATATATATATTTTTATTCTGAAATAAGGGTCTACTATTTTTTATTAACATTCCACGTTATAATTCTACATATATATATATATATATATATATATATAATTATTTTTATTCTGAAACGGGCCTACTATTTTTCTTTACATCTGCTTGCAAGTTATTATTTTCCCTAACGTGTTTCAAGTTTCGAATGGAAATATCAAAAAAAGAAGAACATTTTATTTATTTATGTCAATTCAAGTTAAATGGCAATCGAAGGCAAACTGCTCGAGATTGGAAGAACATTCCACATTATAATGCTACATATATATATAGTTATTCTTATCCTGAAATTCTACTATTCTTCTTCTCATTTTGCAAGTTATTATTTTCCCTATATATTTTAAGTTTCGAATGCAAGTATCACGAAAAGGAGAAGAACATTTTATTTATTTATTCCGAT